CCTAAATCAGATGACGTGTGTTAGCTGTCACATGAGCGCTGTGTGCGAAAATTGACAGGGAGAGAGAGGAGACAGACAGACAAAGAGAAATTCAGACAAAAAAAAGACCCAAAGGCCCTGCTCGCCTCTCTGAGAATCTGTTTCGATACTTGGATGGACTCCGATCCCGAGTCCTCGCCTCTTTTAGATCATAGCCCTTGGTCCTGAGCCCAAGTCCATCAGCTGATGATAAATGTCTCACCCTTCCCCCTCCTCGATCCACACACACACACACCCTGAACCACCCTGGCAGCTAAAACAAGAGGTTGAGCAGGGGGGAAACAAAGTGAAGAACAACACGGTCTGACATGAAAACACTACGACGGCAATAGCTCACTGGTGGAAACACTACACCATTTTCACCTAAATCTGCAGCCTCCAGCACACAGATGGAAAAGGGACAGGGAGAGGGAGAGAGGACAGACAGGCGGTCACACAAACAGCGGGCAGACTCAACACCTCTCCTCACAGTCACACTATAGATAGATGGGATCTGGATCCTGGAGATGCAAAGGCAACAAATCTGAGTGTCCTGGATTCAAAGAAAATATCCTTTACTGACAGAATTAAAACACGAGTATAGAAAAGGCTATCCACACAATGCACTTTTACCATTAAAGGTGCACTGAGCTAAGCCAAGAGATGATATTATATTGGGCAGTAAAATATTACAAATTCAGCTATTCTGATTTTGTTTTCCTATTATTTTCCATAAACGCTGCATCATTCTGAAACTAAAGATGAGCTGATTCCAGTTTTGGACGATTCAAATGTGCCTCAAACAGCTATAATTAACACAATGTTTGATTTGATTTGATTTGTTCGCTTTGTTTTAATTTTTGATTAACTTGAAAATGATGATCCTACAATAAAAAATAAATCCAACATTAAAAATTGGTTGTGACTAAAGTGAATGATGGTGCATTCATGAATCAGGAGAAAAGTCTTTGCTTTAATTGCTGCTTGGCCAAAAACATAAAAATCATATTCTGATCACAGGTTAAGTAGATAGTGGCCATTTCCAATCATTCTGATTGAAAAGAAAAACCAAAGAATGTTATTAAATGGGACACTTGGCAATGTTTTCATATTTTTAAATCAGTTTCTTGAGCCAGTATGTGCTAAAATTACCATTTACAGGATTAATGAAAGGTCACCCAGCCCGTATCGACACCTATGACCAGAATATTCCACTTGCAACTTCAGACTAGCAGGTCGCTCTGGTTAAACTTTTGAGCTGACATACCTGGCGCTGGAGTCTGGCTCCCGCATGTTTTAGATCATGAACACAGCTGGTTTATTTAATTTAGTGATGAATCACTCCTGTAGACACTAATGAAGGCTGGGGAGACATTCCAGCTGTTAGATTAAGGTGTTAAAAATAGGCCCGTGACAAACGCTCAGCGAGGAGATAAGTTTCACTTTTGGTTCTGCTAAACGAACACTATGGGTTGCAAAAAAAAAGCCTAACTGCCTAGTGTCCCTTTAATCTTGCTGTGATGATTTCAGCTGCAGTAAACTCAACATTTCTTCTATTTTCTCTTGTGTTTGTCCTAGTAATGCTTCTAACACTGTGCATTTTAGCATCTTTGTTGGCCCATATTTATTTATGGTGTGTGCATTGCATTTGGAAAATAATAGCATGTATTTTTTTGCTGTCCAAGCAATCCTTTGCAATGTTTATGTTACAACGATTGTTTGATTTTTGAAATATAGTGCGAGCCCTAAATATTCAAGCTTACACCTTACTTAACCTAGGCAAGGTCCAAAACACATTTCGCATCATCCCAATCTAGGCTCACCAACTATATCTGGGTCTACTGCTAAACAGTTTGGCAACTCATGCATGAGGCATTGCAGCGTTTCATGCTGCTACAGCTCAGCTCCAACAAAAGAAAGGAAGACAACTTTGAACTGTAAGTCACAGCCCTGCGGTGCACTGTGGAATAATGGGACGATTCACACACAGACACACCCCTCCCCAGCTGCCACAGTTCAGGGCTTCTCAGACTGTCAGAAATACAAGGATGTCGCAGGTCAGGTCTCCTTCCTGCAGCTCATGGGGCCACAGCTCTGGTCCAGCAGCAGGAGATCCAACTGTTTCGTCCTGCCGCTTCTGGAGTTGTATTCAATGGCTTTGATACCCGAGCTGCAACCCCTAAATCTCACAGCTCTAATTACTACACCAGCCAGTGAAAAACATCTCACTATTGTGCGTGTATCGCTTAGCATAAAGGGAGAAAGGATCCAATGGCAATAATGGATGATTTACACAGCCTATTTTCAACTTCTATAACTGCACAATGAGCGCTTCATCACACACAGCTTATAAACTCTTATAAAAGTTTACTTATCATACAGTTCAATTGTTTCCCAGTTGATGCGTCTGCCTAATCGACTCCATAAAAAGCCAGCAATGTTAAACCTCCAGTGAGAGATGCTTTTTAAAATCTACGGTACAGCGTCAATACAGTGGGGCATATTAGCAATCACCAGAGATCTTTTGATCTAGTAAAATATATTATAATGTATTCCTTGGATTCAAGTTACTTTTAAAAGGCTCATTAAAATGTGCTTAAAATGCAACTCAGCAAAGAGATATCTCTTTCATAGCTTTGGTTTTTGCCTCCATAACCAGCTCATCTTAATGATTGAGCCACAGTGACGTTTGGGACAATAAAGAACGATAAACCACAGAATATAACGCATGTTTTTTGGGTGTATAAGAAGCCAGCGAGGCTTGCTCAATACAGTGGTGTAGTGGAGTGTGATTCTGTGGTTTCTCTGCAGTCCAGACCCCCCCCCCCCCCCCCCCCCCCCCAAAAAAGAGGAGGTGGCAGCTTAAAGGTGCTAAATGACTCGACTTGTCAAAGTTGTCACCTTTGCTCCACCACATGCTTCCAGGAGTCTGCCTTCACAAAACCACACTGCGTGCATGTGTTGGTCTTCTACTCGCTTTTGAGATGGCAGCCTGTCAAAATGTAGAGACTTAACTTGGTGACCAAAATAGTTGAGGAGGTAAAGACACTTCCAGCTTGGACATGTCTGACAGAGCAGCAGACACGAGGAGACGGGGCTTAAACCGCTCTGCCCTGCTCAGCAGCACATGTGCTGAGTGAGCCAAACGCGGTGGCTTACCACCTGAGGTCTGAGTCAAGGGCAGGACAGTTGAAAGGTCACAACCGTACGTCCTGCAACACAAACAGCACCTCGCATCGAGAAACGCTTCCCCACAGAATGCCTTCCTCTCACTGATATCTAGGGAGCTGTTAGAATTCACTCTGGCATGGTTAGCACAAACTACCAGAAGGTAAAAGTACTAAATATTGCTGAGGTACTACTGAACAAAAAAACTCCCAGAAAGTAACCAGTTGATGTACAACTACAACTGCTTCACTTCTGGAGTCCGTCTGGTTCAAGATGGCCGCCACAAGTGATCATCGTTAGCACATCTACACCACATACACTAACGGTGCATTCCAGTTAACCTCAGAACTCATTTTTCCAAGATAAGTTAGCCAGAAATTATGCAAAGAACTTGGAATTTTGAGCTGTGCGCTCGTAGGTTTCAGAGGACCCCGAGATCCCAAATTTAAAGATGGCAGCGCCCGGTGCTACCAGGAAGTAGTTATCGTCTTTATTTTTTTCTCATTTACACGTTCTGTATTCTTTCTTTTTGCCATTTAACAGCACCGGTAAGTTGCTTATTGTTATTATCAACAGTTACGTTGTCGAAATATTTAACACTGCCGCCAAAATTGACCGGTGTTTATGGTTTTTACTTTTCCTGACGTTCGTATTTTTACATTTGATTTATAATGTTTTTCTGGTTGGATGTGGCAACTATTGAAGTGTGTCACTATTGTTATTTAGATGCGGAGAAATTTTGGTTATATAATTATTTTTACTCAACAACAATGGTGGCGTCCATTTTGTCCGAGTTGGAAACTGGAACGCAAAACAAGCCCGTTACATCATTTCCTGCTTGGAAATTCCCAGTTCCGAGGGCAACTGGAACGCACGATAAGCATTAGCAAGACTGCCTTATTTTAAAGATTGGACAAAAATATCTGCATGGTGTCTCAAAAACAATGTTCTGACAGATGACAAGTTCTGCATAACAATATTTTCAAACATGTACAACCCTATAATTTCACTCATTTTCACACAAACTTAAATATAATTGGTCAAAATGCATTATAACAAAGGTGTGGAATACTAAAAAGCATTTTGTAATTGTTATTTCTGAATATAATCAGTCACTCTGAGTTTTTCATGCAGGAACATAAATTATTAAACAGAATAAACTCACATTGAACGTAAGACTAAACAGTGTCTAAGTTTATGTTACAGTTAAAACAGGTTTAATGTTTGTTGGCTAAACGACAGACTTGTTAGAGGAAAAGCCTCCGCTCTTCGTTTTACAGAGCACAGCCTACAGTTAACTGCGGTCTACAACATTATCTGCCAGGCTCAAGATTCTGCACATAACCTCCAGGTCTCACAGGGGAACGCTGGAATCTCCATATTGATGATGGAGCTCCAATAAACAATGATTCATGTTACTAAGATGCTTCAGTTAAACAAAGACAAAGCTAAACAGAGACAATGTGTGTTATCATTCCGTTGAAGGTTTGTTTTACTTCCCCAAGTCAAAATTGTGTTGGCAACTTTAAAATATATGAGCAAATAACAAAAGGGAAGACGAGGACGGCTGAAAACTGGTTCTCTGATTATTTTGCTTTTTTTAATAAAATAATTCAGATATTGTATTTATTCTAACTAAAGTTTTACTTGCAAAGTTTTATTACAGTATCATATAAATGATTTTTATTTTTTGCACAAAAGCATCTGATGAAGCCAGGAAATCCTATCAAAACAGGCTCAAAGATATGCAAAATATTAATATCTGTAAGGGATTTCTCTCTAAATCTGCAGTAAAGAAGAATATCTTGGCTTACCAAAGAGTCAGAGAAAAACTATCCTCTTTATTGGACCAGAATGTTCTGCATCTAGCTCTTATTGTACACTCAAATGCATCCTTGGCTTGCAGCTCTCTGGTGTTTTGTCCTCCTTGGAATCAAAAAATAAATAAATAAATAATGTCCTGGGAGGAGAAGAGTGGAGGAGAAAGACTTTCACTCAGTGATTCAGAGGCACGCTGTAAACGCCAGCATTTTCTTTTCTGACAACCAGCGTTAATTGCAGATCCGACTCACCCACACACTCCACATTTCTACTGGAAGGAGAGGCTGAGACACTGAGATTGAAGTGGGATGAGGAGTGCGGTAAAAGATGCTGCAGCTGCCCATTCCTCGCACCATCACCACCTCTTGTTTCTCCCTCCTGCTTCGTTTTTCTTTTCCCTTTTCTTACTGAGAACTTACAACAAGATGCTAACTGTCAATTACACAGGTTTAAAGATGCACGTGGTGGCACAAAAACAACACGTAGCATGGCTAAAACGTTTCACAAACAGCGGTAGACACGGGCGATCCATCACCCATTACTGCCTATTCTTGATTAAGTGAGGCAGGACAAGATGTAATGGTCTTATTTTTGTAACGCCTAATCGAGATGGCATTCAGGGTCCCTGAGGTTAGAGCAACAGAGTAGCAGACATCTCGGACCAACATATGAAACAAACTGCTAATGTAGTGTTTGTTTCAGCACAGCAAAAGAATCCCACTTCCACTCATTAGACATAAGAGCTCACATGATGTGGATCATGAGCAACAAGGCCCCATTACTGGCGAGGCCTGGGGCAGCGAGCAAGCTAATGACTGCAGATTGGATGGTGCTTTAATGCTTTGCTTTAGAAGTGACTGGTAACCAGCTGGTATGGAAATGTGCATGTCATTACAAGTGAATGTAAAACTAAAAGATGTGGTTAACTATACAAGTTTGCTTTGATATCGACAGCTTTTGCAACCAAATTTGTCAGTTTTTTTTTGTCCTGACGTGTGAAGAAGAAACACTCTGGGTGGTAAAAATCTTCACAACCTCAAGGGAGACCAAGTTACTCACTTCAGAATTTAACTACCCACTGAACATATAGTTTTACATAAGCTGCAGTTTGTTTTCTTTTAGCAAGATTTCACTTTACAATCATTTTGAGTTGCGTTTTCTGATTGAAACAGAACTCTTTCAGTGCAAAAAAACTAAGAAATGCACGGTGTAGGCTAGCATACACTGGAAACATTTGAGAAGGTCAGGTTACTGTTGGCGTTCTTCCACTTTGGCCAGAGGTTAAGGTCACCAGCGTGCCACAAACCACAAGACAGCAAAGATCCTCTCTTACAAGCCTCAAAACAGCCTTTTATGGCTTTGTGTGCACTTTGATACAACTTAACACATTAATAATAATATAAATAAATAAATACATAAATAAAAATAATAATAATAAAATATGGAACAATTAAGAGTCTTACACAGTGAAAGGACTGGATTTCATCAAATTAGGCCCAAATTCATTTACTTCTGGACACAATTTCAAGCTAAATGATAAACAACTTGCTTTATTATTTATATTATTATTATTATTATTATTATTATTATTATTAGAAAAACAACACGAATGATAAAACTATTTGGACAAAATATTTACACAAATTATACTTAAATATTGTTTTGGGGGTTTTAAAAGCTGAAACACAATGAAACATACAATTTACTGTCAACTTTGACAACTTCTAATAGCATGGCTGTTTGGTGGCTCAACAGTGTTATTACACGCACTTCGTTGTTTTGCCCCCATTATCGCTACTTTTATCTTTTTTTATTACAAACAGCTTTATGCATGACCCTTCAAGCGCCGACTACAAACGAGGTTTTTGAAGGAATTCCAAACATCGCTGGCAGCAACAAAACAACTTATTACCGGTGTGCGCGCGCGCGGCGGACCCAGTAAAACTCTCAGAAACTGTCAGATACCAACAGCTGCACCCTTTAACCTGACACTTTGGTGTTCTGTGGCGTCGACAGCTCGCTAATAATTCGCTGTAACTCGTGTTAAACGAGTAACAGCGAACTGGGACGAATTTTGCACGGCGTCCGGGCTGAATTCGCCGTTTGTAGAAGGTAAAATGTGTCCCAAATCCACTCTCCGTCTCCCTCTTGCGCTTCTTCTACTCTCTACGCAGCTTCGGTATCGCTGCCACACTCCCGCAACATTGTTTCTATTTCCGTTACTCACCTTTACTCCCAAGTCAGTCGCTGGATATAGACACTCTATATCGGTGACTCCAGTGGATAAACGTAATTTCAGTTCACATTTACGCGCTGACTGCTATTTTAGGGGGAGCTGACAAACTCAGAAAAGCCAAGCTCCCTCTTGTCAGTGAGAGACTCCTCCCCATCTGACGAGTGGCCTCTCCCTCACCGTCCCCCTTCCTCCCCCCTCCCTCCTCTCCCTCCCTCAGAGTTGTTTCTCTCTCGCTCCAAGTCAAAACACAGTGTGCGTAAAAGACAAAGTCTGGCGTTCAGAACATGTGGGACGTGTGACATGCTTTGTTGTTTCAGCCAACTAAATCCTATAGAAAACGATTTATTGTCATATTTATTCACAGCAAATCCTCAAGAGTGAAACCAGGTGGGTTAACAATTAGGAAGTCCAATTAATAAGTGTTTTATCTTGCATTACATGTTTTTCTCCATTAAGTGTAATTTAATAAACTTTGAACGCCCTCGGCCCTCTCCAACGTCCTGACGTCATATCTCTGAGATAACGACGGAGGAATTCGGTTTAAAGAGCATTCCCGCTGGCCAATGACAATCAGCAGCGACTGTCCCGCAGCCAATAAGAGGAGGGGGCGGGAGCTGCGCGCGTATGTCACATGTTTAAGCTGGAACGTTGTCCGGCCTTTCTGTTTTCATTGGCATGTGCAGGCAGGTGCCACTGAGAGCCAGCATCATCTGTGTTTTTCCTCTTGGTTTTAGGAGTTTAGAAGGGATGGGAAAATATTCTGAGCAGTAGAAGACCTGTTGGTGGAGTAAATAAACATTAATGCAAAAGTTTATTCCTAAATCAGAAACTAAAAGGAACCTGATTGGTTTAAAGTTGGAGTATATTTCTGAAGTTTGGTATACTTGTAGATATTTCGTAAATAGTGCACTACACTGACAGTTTTAGTGTCATTTTTGATGAAATTATCATTGTATCCTGCTTCAATTTTCACAGTACTCCATCCACGTAGATTACATGAGGTTATCTATTCTCAATACCAATTAAAATAACTGTACTTTTTTACTTAAATATAAATCATTTTAGCCTAAAAAAGGATCCAAACAATCTGCTTCTGCTACTGATGAATTTCAAGTGTACTAGACATGATTTAGCATTGAGTTAAGATGCATAGATGTTTGCTGCTTTGTTACTGAGTAGGGACAAAAGGGATCTGAATGACTTTTATTTATTTATTTTTTTATGAGTCATCAGCACATATTTTAAAACCTGAAATATGACATTTTTAAAATAAATAAATGTTTTAAAAAGTGAACAATGTATTTTGGCCAATGTTAACATATCAACAACTGTATGATAATGTGTTTATTCTGTTATGTTATTATGGAAAATAATAAGCAATTGGTCCTTACCAGCTGTAGATTCTCCACAAGAGGACAGCAGGCATGAATCAGACTAAATCCTGATACTTCACCTGATCGCTTTGATGTCAGAAGTGCAAATTTGCAACACTCATCAAGTAGTTTAACAGTGGACATCAAATATTTTCATGTGAGTAGTCAACAAAGTTAGATTTCTACACAAACAGTCCTAGCCTTGTTCTAGCAGCAAAACAATTCATGAACAACTGTAGTTACTTAATAACAATAAGAAAAATTAGCCACTGTTTACATAAGATATCTGGTAATCATTTTATGTGCACAAAATATTTTTATTCAAAACTAAAACGACATGGAAAAGGAGAATTTCAACTAATCATTTTGAAGGATTTTAAAACAGAAAGTATTCTAATTCCCTTCTTGATTCCATCATCTCACGAGATTCTTAAATATAATATGAAACAAATAACTTTTTATGAGTGTGAGAGCTCATATTTGAGTCTAAAGTCAAAATCTATGAGACAAAGGACAACCTTGGTACTTTGCTTTGGGCCTACTATAGGTTTAAAAATAAATCATTGACTGGTTCACAGAGAACGCATATATCACACACACACACACACACACACACACACACACACACACACACACACACACACACACACACACACACACACACACACACAGCTCAGAGAAAAAGAAACCCTGTCCACATCTGTCTCCACCTAGCTTTACCATCATGCTGCAGTACCTGTACAACACATGTGAGACCTGTGCTTTCAAATGAATACATTTGTGCTCTAATAAGTGAATAAGAAATCATCTTTTTTTTTTCATCTTTTTATCCAGCTTGAAGTAGAAATTTTAATTTTCCAGTTTTTTTCAAAGCAACCTAAAAATAAAGGAAAAGCACTGCTGGGAATTTCCTCAAAGTTGCACCCGTTCTAAACTTCAGCCTCTAAACACTAAAAACATGGGGGAAGAAGCAACAGCAAAGTTTAGTCAGTCATTGGTGGCATTTATATAAACGAATGTTGTGTGTTAGTTGGGCACAATCAGATGGTCATATAATAATGTAAACATTTGTTCATGCATCTTCTTGGCTGCAGGAGGGTTCTCTGCTTGCTTCCCCTTTCTCTCCAACATATTCATTTCTCCAGGCTCATTATGTCAAAGTATAAATCATTTGTACAAACATGTCCTGGCAGCACTTTTAGTGGAACTCCTCTTAGTTCTGTTTGTGTCCGTGTGAGTTTAGGCTCATGTATACATGTTCTCAGCATTGAAATAAAGCCAGCAACCCCCTCAAAAGGACAAAAGTAAATATACAGTAAGCACCATATCATGTTGAACTGAGGACACAACCCAGCAGACTTAAATTTAATAGTACACTGTAGAGGGATCATTTCACACATGGTAAAATTAAAGTGAGTAAAATTCATCTGATATTCATCTGACATCACTTTGTGCTAAATAAATGTAATCCATGTGTTGCACCATGTGTCTCACCTTTTGTTCTACCTCCACAGAACCAGCTGTTCTAACGTCCACCTTCCTTTGAATGTCTTCTGACTTCCTTCACCTCTTCTTCCAGTCAACAATTACTATGATGATTCTACTTCTTTCTGCTGCCCTTGTGTCACTCCGTCCATCAGTTCGTCTTAAAGCCAGACCAGCTGGCTTTGGATGTGTCCCCCTCGAGCCCTAGGAGGCCCGTCTTCTCACCCTGCTCCTGCTCCTGTCCCTCGGTCTCTCCACGGGCAGAAAGCAAGGGGGGGGGGGGGGGGGGTCAGTTTGAAGAGCGGGGCCCGTGATGGACATGGACACGTTGGACATGCGCTATGTGATGGGGCTTGGCTCGGGGCTCTCTGGATTAGACACAGCTGTCAGTCAGAACTGAAGTAGGTGTTGAGGAGTTTTCATCTCTGATCAGTTTTCAGAAACCATTTCATAAAAGTTTCTAATGTCTGTGTCTCATCTGTTGTCTGGTTTGTAGTAGAATAAGTCCCACGACATGTCTATTTTCAGAGACATTTTCTAATGTTTATTAAATTTCCCTGTTGGTTTTTAAATGAAGACGTGGATCTGCCGTGTGTGACACAAGAAGGCACGTAGCCTGTTTCAACCAGCTGCGTGAATGTGCCAAATAATGGTTTGCTCCAGTCAGGCTTTGAGGCTGAGCCGACAGCTGGCATTTCCAACATTGCACCAGACCACAAATAGACCCAGACACTCTTTCTCTCCAATTAAAAAGTGCAGCCTGAAAGCGTCATGTTAAAAAATACAAGTCAGGTTTGATCTATAATGTCACAGCAGAAGGAAAAAGCAGTGTTTCTTTTTTAACTGAGAAAACACAAACGTGAGTTTCTCAGAAAACAGTTTGACAGTCAAACCGAAACAACCATTGAATAAAACCCATTCAAAAGTCTGCAAACCCAATTCGTGATTTTGCAGATGAAAACTCAGAATTCTAGCATTAAAAGTTATCAGTGGAAAAGTTTATTTAAAGCAACTGAAATAATTAAACCCTGGATTAAAACCCAAGTGTTGTTTTTATATGGATGGTATGTTTTATTTACTTAGAAAGCGTAACGATCAAGCATGCAAGTGATGTTATAAATTTATCTCAAAGTGTGTGCTTTCAAAAACCCAGGATTCCTTGAATGGAATGGCTGTCATACATATCAAAGAAAATATTAGGACTTTTTTCTTTAAGTTATAAAAGTTAATGGGTCGATACCAAACATGTTTATGAAGTTCTTTTGCATAAAATCCATCTCACTTAAAGCTAATTTAGCAGTTTTATTCTTGGCAGTTTCAGTACCTTCCAGAATGAGCTGTTTCAGGGCTCTGTCGCTTTAAAAAAACAAGCTCGAGCTGGCCACACCTAACCATCACCCAATCAGGCTACTATAACTGAGAAGATCCTAAATCTGGGAGGGGCTTGGTAGAGCCTCTGTTACTTCTGCAGCAGCTCTCTCTTGCACGTGAAAGGTGGTTTCTATTCTATTTTCTAAATGCCTAAATAGTCTTGCCCCGGGCTGCGCTATCTGTCTGACCTGCTGATGTCATACGCCCCTTTGCAAACTTCTGATAATTGTTCCTCAGGCCAAACAAAAAACTTGAAGGAGACAGAGCTTTTTTTTGGGGGGGGGGGGGGGAGAATTATCTGCCCCTGAGTGTAAAAGTTGAAGTCCCATTAGTCGTCATCACACACTGGTGGAATTACATGTCTGCATTTGACCCATCTCTGTGGGGACCGGAGAGCTGCAGCAGTGGCTGCGCTTGGGAACGTTTGGTGGTTTAACCCCAATCGATCCCATTTAAAGCTGATCATCAAGCAAGAAGGCTTTGGGTATGACCTGACTGGGGTTTGAACCCCGATCTCTCAGGGCCGACATTCATAAAACAGTATGATTTGCTTACGGTGTTTAATTCTCACCGTAAGATTCACCTATTCTCTTTTGCATTTGACTAAAATTGAGGATTTTACTGTAAATATTTTGTCTTTGTGTTTCTGTGTTGTTTGTTTTGAATTTTATTTGTATTTTACTGTACAGCACTATGGCGTACCTCGTTTTATAATGAGTATTTAATAAATAAATGGGATTTGGAAAATAGAATGGA